ACTAAATTATCGTGTAACGGATAGAGAATGGTTGGCGCAGGTCTATGGATGGGCTTCTCAAGCACTGGGCAGTGTTTGGCAATTCTCATAATCCCATAACGATTTTTACTGATCACCAACAAGCTCGCTGGCAGGAGGTCTTCCGCGATCGTGACGTGTACTTGTTGCACGTGAGAGGGAAAGACACCGGCACCGCGGATATGCTCAGCCGTCTAGCGACCAAGGTGTATTTTTGGATGGACCCTGTGGGGACTCAAGCAGGTAACCCTCGTCGCCGAGTTTCCTGGCGTTATCCAATTGATCGCACGGGTCCTCCGTACAGCAATGAATACATGGCCAACCGCAAGCACTTCAAGAAGGTAGACAAGACTTGGGGCCCGCACACCCATAATGGTTTTGCGCTGCCTGGGAATAACCATCTCCCTCAGTATTTTTCGCCCTTTTAAAAGGGGGTACCTTCTCTCAACCCCCCGTGGGCGGCGGTTCCCCGTGTTCTAGCCAAAGTCATCACTGATGATGCGGACATCACGCTGATGTGTCCGTACCTCCCTAACGAACCATGGTTCGAACCGATGCTGGCCTTGCTTTCGCGTGAGCGAATCATTATTCCCCGGGAGAAAGGTGTTTTCTTCCCGTTTGGGCAAGAAGAGATGCCTGCCCCGTGATGGGGTCCTACACTGATGTGCCGACTCTCGGCGTCAGGGGCGAAGTATAAGGTGACGAAAGACTTCTGGCGTCAGTGTGAGGCGTTCCTCCCCCGTGGAGCGGCCGGTGGCGCGGTTAAATCAGCTCTGCGGTTGAACTCACGAGCGACAGTTCCGCTGCCTATCCCTTCCGAGGCTGATACGCTTGAGCGAGCAGCAGCGCAGGCCACTGAACCCAAGAACGAGTACCGAATAAGCGTACCCGTCGGGCACGAGCAAGGCGGTTGTCAGCTTGATGCGGCAACTAAACGGGACTTGCCAAAAACAAGGGCGGAAGTGGAAGCAGCAGCAGCGCGGGCGCTTGCCGGTCCGTCCCCTTACAACATTCGTGGATTCAAACTATCGTGGCCGGAGGTCCACGATGTAATTGCTGCCACGCATAAGGTCTATATGCATGCTATGCTGGTACTGACAAGCTTGTCAGCAAATTGCACACCCTGTACGGGTTGGATGGTATCCGTTCCTTAGTCCGGGTGGTCAAGCGATCCTGTCTCCGCTGCCAGATGCGGGGGGGGGGCCGCATGGCACGCAGGAACTTGGATTGCTCCAACAACCGGTCCGGGAACGGGATATTTTCAACCACGTGTTCATGGACTTCGCTACTTTGCCAAAGACCTCCACGGGCTACACACACCTTCACTTGATCTGATCGTCAATTGGGCGAAGTCCTTGGTGCTAGTCAAACCGTCGCGGTCCAAGAGCGATCGCAAGACCATCAAGTTCCTTAACGAGGTAGTACACCCGTGGGGTCAACCCAAGTTGTCCACTTGCGACAAGGACTCTGTCTTTATGGCGCAGGAGTTCAAGGACTTTGCTCAGCAATCTGGGGGCGAGGTCCATGATGGTACGACCAACCACCACCAAGCTGACGGTGCAGCTGAGGCTATGGTGAAGGTTGCGCAGGACTGGATTATGACATCCATGACTGCGGCAGATAAGGGCGACTGGGTGCCCTGGTGTTACAAGTTCCGAAACTGTTATAACGCCGCAACTACCGCCACGCACGATGATAACCAATCGCGTGTACGATGGTGAGCGAGAGTTTAAGCATGAAGCAGATATCCGTCGGCTCCCTCGCAAGTGAAGAATCTGCGCGCGCCTTGGTGCGTGACGATGCAGTTTTCCAGCGTATACAGCGGGCGAAAAAAGCCCTGCGTGCGAGGGCCAACAGGGTGAGAAAGCCTGCGCGCAACCTCGCACCAAGATCTCTGGTTAAGTTCAAGGCCTCACCAAACAGGTTGAAGGCGGATTACCAGTGGAAGGGCCCCGCCACGGTCCGTTCACAGAATATCTCGGTCAAATACACGATCTCTTTCCGTGGTAAAGAGGTGCAATGATATTGCACGTGAGTTTGTGTCACCCATCTCCCCGATTATAGACCAGCACGTTGACCTGGTTTTTTCGTCTGCGTACGAGAAATGGCTTTTCATGGAATCTCCTTTCAGGAAGGCTCTCATCGAAGCGCGACGGGCGGTACTACATCACTTGACGCAGACCGCCAAGGACCAGCGTTGGCGTGGCCTCACCAACTCAGC